TATGACATAACCCGATGACATCACCATTTTGTGATTGTATACCAATTAGAAATCTCTGCACGTCATTAGGGAGTTCTGCGACTATCAGGGGAAACAGTAAAACCTAACTCATAAAGCAGTTGACTCAAAGGTCTCAAGAAGAAAGGACTAAAATGCAAGGATTCTTGTAGACATAAAAATTGCCACTTTACCACTAAAACACAAAGTTATTTAGTCCAAAGAAGTCTAGCTATCAAGAAAAACAATATAATTTCTTGCCATTGCATCAGCTGTATTTGTAACGGTATTTGAGGAAGTAAGAAGCAAAAATATTTCATGTTCTGATGATTTATTCAGCCTGTATCATCACCAAAGTTGGTAAAAGATCTGCACTTAAGATTTCTTCAGCATCAGCCATTCTCACAGGTATTTTAACACAACAAAAATCTCATTGCGCTCGTAATTTAAGCATATTAGAGAGTTAAAGATGTTATGGTGGAATATACCATTCCAATCTCTACGAATATGTATTTGGCATGACAAAATATGTCCTAAAGACACGGACATACCTTCCTCACCAGTATTATCATTTTCTGCCTCGCCTACACCATCATGGTCCCAACGATCCCCGACAGGAGGCATCCAGAACTCATTTTCTTCTTCTAAATCAACAACAGTCCCCATCGAATCCTCCTCTTCAGCGGTAACTTTACCATTTTCCTCTTGCTTCTTCGTCTTCAAACCATCATCTTTATTCTTATTCTTCTCCTCCTCTTTTTCGTCGCCATGTTTCTCTACTGTCCCGTTAGACATTTCCTTCTCAACTTCCATTTTCTCTGTTCATATTAACCATATTTATATTAACGCAGCCAAATTCAAGATAAGCAATCAAAGGTTTTTTTAAATCCTATAAAGTTCCGTTCTAGAAAAATTGAATAGATAAAACAAACCTATCATGTTGAGGAACCGCCTTCCATTGATATGCTTCCATTTATGTCCCTCTGTTTTATTGATTGTGACTCCAGTTAACTTGCACTTTAACTTTGAACTGAAACAATACAGTAACCAAAACTCAAACTTTCCATATTCTTCATTAACAATTACACAAACTCTAAACCCCTCTCGTAACCCTTCAAATCACGGGACAAAATGAAAATACAGGAATTTACCGGGAAAGTGGGTCCTCAAGAAACATATTGAGATTAGGCTTATTTTTGGCAATGGCAGGGTCAATGAGTCCCAAGCGACCGTGCTTGCTTTGGGCATAAGAGCCCTGGACGTGCGCCGGAAGCTCATGGCCAGTCTCCACGCATTTAAAGAGCCCATTGTCCAGTGGCTTGAAACTTGGCGAGCCCATCAAGTTGTGACTTTCCATTACCTTGGTTACAGTAGAATTTTCTTCTTCCTTGCTCTCCCCTCCTTCCTTCTTTCCCATCGGCGACTCTGTGCGCATATGTGCGTACCTGCAAACCGTTTATCTGTGTGTCTGTGTGCGTGTGAGAGAAAGAGAGAATCGAGAGATAGTTTTGTCAGTTAGTGTAGGGCGAAAATAGAGGTGGCAATGGCTTGGCCCCATGGGCCCTGCCCGTGACGAGCGGAACCGTCCGGGCCGCGAGCTTTTTATTATTTAGACAACTTTAAAAAAATAGTAAATTTTTTTAAATGTGAGATAAAAAACCGTGAACTTTAGCCCATGTTTGAATTCATTTATTTGAAAATAAAATTTCTAAAAAGTCATTTTTATGTAAAATTGTGATTTAAAATAGAAAAAAGTGTAAAAAAATTATTTTAGAGAAAATTACATGAACCATGCTTTTAATTTTTCATTATAAAAAATTAAGAATTATCTTTCTTTTTTTTAATTTACACATTAGCAACATGTTTGGGAGAGATTTTTTACT